GGATTCCACTGGTCATGTTTGCATTTAACCCCACCTAGTATTCCTGAGTCTGATGTCTTTCTGGTTTATATTCATCAAACCAGTGGTCGCCAACCTTTCGGACCTCATGGACCACCAGTGGTCCGCGGACCACCGGTTGGCGACCACTGCTTCAAACAGTACATTGTTGTATCTTGAAGGATGAGGATAGCAGCAGGCAACAGGATGTCTGCTTGTTTTGCATAGTTAAAACCTATCCTCTTCCCATCCTTTTCTGTCTTGTGCCTCCAAGCTTGGAACCTTTCTGGGCTCCTGTTGGTCACTCAGCTCACTTCACACTGTCCTCCTGCAAGCACACAGATTGTCTATTCCTTCCCTCTCCCTTACGGGTTACAGCTCAGGCAAATATTCCAGAAATGTGTTCATCTCATTTCTTTTCCATATTTTCTTTGTTCTTGTAGATTTGTGACATATTTATTCCTTCTGTGTGTTTTTAGGAGTTAGAGGAAATGACACATGTGGCCAATCTAGCATGTTTAACTGGCACTCAAAAGCTGGTTCTTTAAAAAAACACACAACTGATGAAATTGATCTTTGATGGACCTGATTAAGGAAATAATGAGAAAGCACAAATATACATTAGCAATGTGAAAGGAGATATAAGAAAAATGTATAAGAGAATATTAACTATGACATTATGATAATCAGTTTGAAACTCTATAGCAGGGTTGGCAAGCTATAGCCTATGCAAGCTACATCTGCCCAACACCTGTTTTGATAGTTTCATTGGAATACAGCCATACTCACTCGATACATATTGTCTAAGGCTCTTCTGCACGACAGTGGCAGAGTCGAGCAGTTGTGACAGAGCATTGATGACCCACAAAACCTAAAATATGTACTGTATAGCCTCTTACAGAAAGGGTTTGCTGGAGGAAATGATTTCCTAGAGAAAAAGAGACCGCAATTGACCCCCAAAGTGCTGGACTAAGCTAAATAACCATTGAAGAGATTGGAAAGGTTATTAGTGATCTTAAGAAGGCTCCAACCAGAGAACTGAGTTCTGAGTTCATTAATCTTTGAAGGACAGGCAATTTCCTTGCTCTCTGATTATTTCAGACCATGGAAGAAGATAGAAAAGTCTCCCAAATGACATTATTAAACTATCAATGCAGTCATCTTTTAAAGAAACCTTGCTCTTGAAAGTTATTGTTATTGAGGTTTTTGCAGTGATTTGTATTGTTAACGCAGTGATACTGACTCTGGTACCATAGCTTCTAATGACCGAGCACACGCCTGTCTCAATGAGGGCAGCAGCGTTTATGTGACAGAATTAACTGATCCCCTTGACCACACAGTTCCCTAGTCAGTGTCATCTTAATACTATTTGTAGACGTTTACATTTGTTCCATTTCTGTGTTATAGAAGCACCTTCATTACTAAGAAAGATTGAGTGTGAGTGAGAGTGTGTGTGTGTGTGTGTGTGTTTGTGTATTTGTACGTACACATGTCTTAATCTTAGTCTGCCAGGCCTGAAAGAGGGCAGATATAGTCTCTTCATTTCTGTGCATTAAAACAATAGTTAAAATTAGTTGTACTAAGGGACATTGTAGTGTTACTGTACTTTCAGATATCTCTCTTTATTACTTTGTGAGCAGCAACACTCCCCACTTGGAGATGTAGATAATGTGATGGTGTTGAACTGTACAAATCCAATATCCACAGTAGCATCATGTTAGCAAAATGGTCAACTGAGTGTAGTGATTCCCAAGACCTGAGTTGGGGGTTCTCCAATCAGGTTCAGTGATTTGCTGAATTCAGAGAAGCGGTTGCACTCCTGGTTACAGCTTATTTCAGAGAGAGGATACCGATTAAAATCCATGGAAAAGGCACGTAGGGAAGGATCCAGGAGACACCAGCTCAAGCTTTCAATTGTCCTCTTCCCATGGAGTCGGGTGGGCACTGCCTAATTTTCCCAGAAACAATGTGTGGCAGTTCTCAAGGAGTGTGCCAACCTGGGAAGCTCACTGGAGTCCTGGTGTCCAGGCTTTTACTGGGGAGCAGTCATGTAGGCGTGGCTGACCTTAATGTCCAGCTCCTTCAGAGGTCAGACTGATACCACGTAGCCCAAGCCCCCCCCCCTCCCCCCATGGATCACATCATTAGCATAAACTATTTGGGGCAGTCCAAGGCTTCAGGTAAACAAATACATTCTTAAGAAGCAGGATGTCCCAAGAGCGTAGGTATTGCCTCCCAGGTGCCAGAAGGGCCAAACCTTTCCCTGACGTGCAGGGTTTGGACATCCCACACCTGCTGAGTTAATTCTTCACTGCATATCACTACGTATCAAATTCCTCACACATGCGTACTCTCTCTACCAACAGATGTTTAAAAGACATGCATATCCCATTTTACCCATTCAACAGTGAACTCTCCCACTATCCATTTTTTGAATGGAGAAAAAGTTCTCTCGGGAAGGTCATATTCAAGTCACATTTGGATTAGATCAAATATAGACTTACACGGGATTTACCTTTAGGCTTCAGAAGGTAAGCCTGAATTGCATCACTTCTTTTGTGCAAGGGTATTTGTCCTCTAAGTCCCTGTTGTCCTGTGCATGGAAAATTGAGTAATAATACATGGAGTCACCATCTTTCTATGGGTTAGATGTGGTCAAGAGTCAGAATGTTTTGTCTCCTGGTAGACACTCTGTTTGTTAGGTTATAAAAGATTTTTTTAAAAAATGCACATCTCAGGTTCCAAGAAATTGTTCATTGGGTTTTAGGAATCAGAGCAGTTCTGAGTTTTCTGTTTGGCTCAGATGCTGGATGACTTCAGAAGTGATGCTGACTTGACTTGAAATGATGAACACACAATACAATATACAGATGATGCATTACAGAATTGTATATCTGAAACCTATATAATTTTATTAGCCAACTAGAGGCCCAGTGCACGGATTTGTGCACTCGTGGGGTTCCTCAGCCTGGCTTGCACCCTCTCCCAATCTGGGACCCCTTGGGAGATGTTGGACTGCCAGTTTCGTCCCGATTGCTTTCAGGGATTGGCCTAAACCGGCAATCTGACATCCCTGGAGGGATGCAGTAGTGCACAACGCAGGTGGCCGGGGAGGAGCCCCAGCTGGGCACTGCGCCGCTCCCGCTCATCCCGGTCCTGCTGCACCTGCCGCAGCTGCCTCTTGGTAGCACTGCAGCAGAGGTGGGAGAGGCTCATGCAGCCACAGCTGCAGCTGCGCTCACCAGCTGTGAGCCTGGCATCTGGCACCTGCTGAGTGGTGCTCCCGCTGTGGGAGCACACTGACCACCAGGGGGCAGCTCCTGCATTGAGCGCCTGCCCCCCTGGTGGTCAGTACCTGTCATAGTGACTGTCATTCGGTTGTTTGGTTGCTTAGGCTTTTAGATATAGATGTCACCCAATAAATTCAATTGAAAAGCAAAAGAAGTGATGTCGATACTGACTAGGAATGTCTAGACCAGCCGTGGGCAAACTACGGCCCGCGGGCCGGATCTGGCCCATTTGAAATGAATAAAACAAAACAAAAAAAAAAAGACCGTACCCTTTTATGTAATGATGTTTACTTTGAATTTATATTAGTTCACACAAACACTCCATCCATGCTTTTGTTCCGGCCCTCCGGTCCAGTTTAAGAACCCATTGTGGCCCTCGAGTCAAAAAGTTTGCCCACCCCTGGTCTAGACTATGACCGAGACCAGCGGTTTTCAAACTTTTTCATCTCATGGCACACATAAACTAATTACTAAAATTCAGCACCATACCAAAAAGTATATATTTTGCCAGTGTGACAAAAAAAATAGGTATAATATTGATTCATTCACACCGGATGGCTCTTGTTGGCTGTTGTCATTTTTTTTAATTTGACAATCTAAGGGAAAAGAGGTCAGTGCCCCTAATAGTCAGATATTGCATGTTTTAAAAATTCTTGTGGCACACCAGTTGAAACTTGCTGATGAGGCTATAACCTAAAGTGTCTGGTCTTTGTGAAGATTTTGTCTCAAAAAGCATGCAACACTTAACATAAAAAAAAATCTTTAGTAGTGGTGGGAAGAAGAAAAAGAAAATTGCCCCTGAACTAGAAATTCATTTTTGGTCTGTTATTTTAAGTAAAATATGAATCACTTATCTGTACACTTCTGAATTTCGTTTTCACTCACCATTGTGTCTGAGTAGCAGTGTTTTGGTACAAGGTTGTAGGACTTTATTTTTAGGTACAAAAAATTCTCTTTGCAGGGATGGGGGAGGGCGGGAGCAACAGATTAATGCTCTCTGTTTGAAGTGGTTAGCATTTCATATTATTTCTTCATTCTGGTCACCACTGCTCATGTCCAGGTATTACTTTTTGGTCCCATCCTGGGAGCATCATCTCCATGCAGGTGGTCTCTAGGCTGGGGAGAAGCTCTGAGCAAGCTGAATGCTCTAGGGCAGTGGTTCTCAACCTTCCTAATGCCGCGACCCTTTAATACAGTTCCTCATGTTGTGGTGACCCTCAATTTCATTGTTACAAATTGAACATAATTAAAGCATAGTGATTAATCACACAAAAAATATGTAATTATATATGTGTTTTCCGATGGTCTTAGGCAACCCTTGTGAAAGGGTCTCGACCCACAGGTTGAGAACTGCTGCCTAGGGGATGAGAAGATAGCAATGGGGATACCGAATCCCCAAAGTCTGAAGATGGGGTGTCCCACTGAGCCAGTGTGTTTGAGCATTGTGTCAAAGGTAGCCAAGGCTTAATTTTACGGGGAAGTGGCAGCCACTTTATCAAATTGTGTTTTAGTAGTGGGCCTGTACTAAACTGAGCTAACGTTACTCCTTACATTTATTTATTTATTTATTAATTTATTTCGTTAGTTATTGAGAGTGGAAGGGAGGGAGAGAGGCAGAGAGAAACATCCATGTGAGAGAGATACCGCAGAGCCAAACTAACTAGGGCAGTCCTTGTTTTTATTAAGCAACTCCTTTGTCTCTCTTGCTTACAGAGCTCTCTGGCCGAGACGTTGGATAGCACTGGCAGTCTAGACCCCCAGAGATCGGACATGATTTACACCATAGAAGACGTCCCTCCCTGGTACCTGTGCATATTTCTGGGGCTGCAGGTAAGATGGTTCCTTTAGGATGTAACCACCAGCAGATGCTTGAGTTCTCTGTCTGGATGTTTTTTAAATTCAGTTTTGATTTTGATTTATTGAGGACTTTATTATAAACTAGAGGCCCAGTGCACGAATTTGTACACGGGTGGGGTCCCTCGACCTGGCCAGTGATCGGGACCGTCTTGCCCAGTCCCAATTGCGGCCAATGGGGGCCAGCCAGCCGGGGAGGGACCGCAGGAGGTTGGCCAGCTGGGGAGGGACCGCTGGAGGGCTCCAGGGCGTGTTTGACCATCTCACCCAGTCCCCATCAGCCGGACCCCTGCAGCAAGCTAACCTACCAGTTGGAGTGTCTGCTCCCTGGTGGTCAGTGTGCGTCATAGTGACTTCGAGCGGTCCACTTAGCATATTAGGCTTTATATATATAGACTAGAGCCCGGTGCACGAAATTCGGCCTGCACCCTATCCAATCTGGGACCCCTCAGAGGATGTCCAACTGCCACAAGGATCGGGCCTAAACCAGCAGTCGACATCTCTCTTATGATCTGGGACTGCTGGCTCCTAACCGCTCGCCTGCCTGCCTGCCTGATCGCCCCTAACCGCCTCTGCCTGCTGGCTGATCACTCCCTAACTGCTTCTCTGCTGGCCTGATCGCCCCCAACTGCCCTCCCCTGCCGCCTGATCACTCCCAACAGCCCTCCCCTGCCGGCCCGATCGCTCCTAACTGCTCTCCCCTGCTGGCCTGATCGCATCCCTAACTGCTTGCTCCCCTGCCAGCCTGATCACCCCTAACTGCTTGCTCCCCTGCCAGCCTGATCGCCCCTAACTGCCTCTGCCTTAGCCCCCACCACCATGGCTTTGTCCGGAAGGAAGTCGGACATCTGGAAGATGTCCAATTGACCCGGTCTAATAAGCATATTACCCTTTTATTAGTATAGATTACTCTCTTAAGACTGATGAATGGAAATTGTTAACATCAGTTTCATAGTAGTGAAAGGAAGAAAAGAAAGGAGGAGGAGATTAAACAGAATGAAGGAAGGAAAACAGGGAATAAGCAAAGGAAATGACATGGAAGGAAGGACTGAAAATTATAGAGATATAGAAAAAAGGAAGAACAGAGGGAGAGAAAAGTAGAAGAGAAGAGAGAAGAACTAGTTTTCATTTCTCATTCCCGGCTTAGTTAACCAACTCACAGTCACAGTCAGTTCTGCCATGAAACATGGGCGACACTGAAAAATGCCATGTTGGCCAGATCGTAAACGGCATGTTTCAGTCTTTTTAAAGAAAGGCAAACTTTGCCAGAGAAGCAGCTGCTTTGTCTGCTGTGGCTTCCAGTGGGAGCAGAGCAGGGACGCTGCCAGGAGAGGGAGTGGAACAGGGCTGGGCTCCTATGATTTTGGTGCTTTCCCTCATCTCAGCACCCTCTTCCCACTTAACGGACTGAAGTGGCGCTCTAGAGAAAGGGGACAAGACAGGAAGCTCTTTTCTAGGATTCACACCCATGACCTGGGTTTGCCTTGGTTGTTTTAGCCGTGTGAAAGCTGCGACCTGCACGGCTAGGGTTCAGGACCTAGAGAAGGGCTGTGCACAAATGACGAGACTAGACAAGAAGTATGAATTTGGATATCATGGGGGGCCGGGCAGTGAGCCATTCTTTAGTGGAAAGGCTTCACTGGTGCCCAGGCCCTGCCAACCTTGTATTCAATTTTAGATACACATATTGCCCTTAGGCAGCAATCCTGGCAGCAGACAGATAATCTTAAAGGTCAGTAAATATTAGTAAAGATTTACTTTGAGACTATTAGGTCAGGAAATTGCTTGAGCTACCATTTTCTTGACAGAACAATGGTGCATAGCTTTAGCCCTTGTCAAAGCTCAAGGTCCATCAGCCTTCTGGGTTGCTTGTTTGCACTTTTCTGCTAATGTAGACCAGTTAATCCCGGCAGCAGACAGATTATCTTAAAGGTCAGTAAATATTAGTAAAGATTTACTTTGAGACTATTAGGTCAGGAAATTGCTTGAGCTACCATTTTCTTGACAGAACAATGGTGCATAGCTTTAGCCCTTGTCAAAGCTCAAGGTCCATCAGCCTTCTGGGTTGCTTGTTTGCACTTTTCTGCTAATGTAGACCAGTGGTCCGCAAACTGCGGCTTGCGAGCCACATGCGGCTCTTTGGCCCTTGAGTGTGGCTCTTCCTAAGCCTTAGGAGTACCCTAATTAAGTTAATAACAATGTACCTACCTATATAGTTTAAGTTTAAAAAATTTGGCTCTCAGAAGAAATTTCAATCGTTGTACTGTTGATATTTGGCTCTGTTGACTAATGAGTTTGCCGACCACTGGTGTAGACAATGGATAGCTTTCAGCATAGCCAGACTCTGTTCTCAGGTCTGACTTTCCATTCTTCATTTTTTTAAAGTTTGAATGACAGTTTAACCTGGGGTATTTCAGATGCTGAGAAACTCAGTCTCATTGCCCAGACAGGTTTATGCACTTGGAGGTGAGGCTGTACCTGCCCCGACAGCTGATGCTTTGGTCTGGGTTTCCAGCCCTCCCAACCCCCTTTAGGTATCACAGCACTTGGTTACCTGACCTGAAAGGTGTCTAATAAGGAGAAGTCACAACCCAAGGAGCTGAGTGGTCGTGGGGATAATTTTCCTTGGGTTGAACATCCTGAAACAGAGTGAGGAGACTTGCTTTTTAAAATGTTTATATTCTAGGTGTTTCTAGAAGTGTTCCCTGGTCAAATGGGATTGGGAACCCTGCATGCATCATGGCCTTCTTGACGATGCACAGTGTTCTTAAGCTTGTGAGCATCCCTGAGAAGTCCTGGATGGGAATGTTCTGTTTCCTGCACGAAACACCTATTAGTGTTATGAAATTTGGGCTTTATGGGCTGCAAGCAACACATTTTGGCAAACCGGAGCAGAGATGGGGAACTCTTGGGAATAAAATTGGGTTTGCCGAACAGAAGCAGGCACTGAACAAGCAGGCCCCTGGGAGGAAGGGAAGTGAGCATGGCTGCTAGGAATATCCTGGGAGTGGAGGTGGGGCCCCCAAAGGAGAGTGAGCTGGCTCTTTGTGGAGCATTCTTCAGCTCCTGTGTGACCTTAACCCTCCCCTGATTGTTATGAAACAATGCCACCATAGAAAAGGGGGGGTTGGGAAACACCCTGTGTAAGGAAGCTTTAACCCCCAGACCCATTATTTCAAGAATACAGATGTAGAATTCTACATAAAATATTGGCAAGTCAAACTGCAGAAGAAAGATATAGCAAGACTCCTAGAGTTTGTTTCAAGAATGGTTCCACGCAAAATAATTAATGTGCACAAATCAGAGGAGAAAGACATATGATTTTAGCAATTGATACTGAAAAGCATTTGAAAAAAAGCATGTAATTCCAGTAAGAATTGCAGGAGTAAAATATTAATAAAATATGATTGCATTAAGTGTTTCCTTTATGCTGACCTGGACTCATGTGAATAATAAGTAATGATACAAGTATAATGGAAATGTAATGGAAAGGAGAAATACTGAAAAAGAAATGTGATTTGGTATATGATACTCGTGTGTACCTAAGCAAACCAAAGAGTTCCTTTTTTTAAAAACAAAACAAAACAAAACATTGGCGGGGTGAGTTAGGATGAAATCAGAAAATAACGATAAGGGTTTACTCTTTCCTCTGTCTCCCTGTCACCCACAGCACTATCTGACTTGCTTCAGCGGCACCATCGCGGTGCCCTTTCTGCTGGCCGACGCCATGTGTGTGGGGTACGACCAGTGGGCCACCAGCCAGCTCATTGGGACCATTTTCTTCTGTGTGGGAATCACAACTCTGCTGCAGACAACGTTTGGGTGCAGGTGAGACTGGAGTACTAAATGGGATCCCGAAGCCCCTGTAAGGAAGGTATCGAACGACACCGTTTACCTAGGCAGCTTAGAAGGACTGACTGGTGGGTGGGTGTTGTTGTAGTGAGCCCTGCCCCCACCTACCCTGCACCGTGTTTCTTCTCTTGGTGGATGGCACCCCCCCACCCCCCCCTGGCTGTGCACGCTGGAAAGTCTGATGCTCTCAGCTCCTTCCATCCCTCCAGCTGCAGAGCAAGCTCTCCAGTGCCTGTCCTGCCACGTTCCTTTAGTCAGACCTGGGCTGTTGCACTAGGTTCCCAGTTGGTTTCCATGCCCCCAGGGCCACTCTCCTTGCCCCACTCTGTGCACCAGCCCCCCGAGCCTTCTTTCCAACATTGGCATCTTCCTCAGAGCTGCCAGGCTGCAGCCCCACTCCCTGTGTAAAACCAGGATGTGCCCACTTTTGAAGCTTCTCCCTTGCTCTCTGTCTGTCCCCTGCCTTTCCAGCCATGCCTCTGATCCCTGCTGTCCCCTTCTCTGGCTCTCCCTGGGGGGACCTCCCTGAGCCACCTGCTGTTCCACCCCGCTGTGCTTGTGTGCCCCAGCACCCCATGCACCCTGCTCATCCTTCCAGTCTGGCTTGCTCCTCTCCTCGCTGAAGCACCCCGACTCCTCGAAGCCTCCTTTGTTCTCTCAATTCCCACACATGCATCTTGTATTCATTCTTCTAATGTGGCTCTTCTTCCACTGTGTCCTTTTTTGTTTTTGTGTCTTTTCCTGTTGGATTGTGCTCCCTTCCTTGATGCCAGGGCTCTGATTGTTCACCTTTGCTTCCCTGCTCCCAGCTGAAATGGGCGAGGAGCTGGCTGAGGACCGGAGGAGAGCTCCTCTCTCCTGCCGCCTCCTGCGGGCTTGCTGTTTTCTCCTGCCCCCTCTTTTGTTCTCTTCACACTGCAGCCTCTTCCTCTACCCGGAGGCTGCAGGGACAGACTCTTCTTGGGAAGGGTAGGGAGTAAGCTTCTGAGTTCTGGTTCTGTCTCTTGCTCTATGAGAGAGACTCTGGGGAAGGGCTTCGCCTTGCCTTCTGGGGGAAAGAGAGGGCGATAGTACAGCGGCAGCCTGGGAGTCAGGGACTGTATTCCAATGAGTCAGAATCCACAGGGACCTTGAGCGTATGGGAGACCCAGAAGCAGTGTTAGGGTGTCCCAGGTGGTGGCACAGGCAACGCCTGGGAAGGGAAGTGGCCGTTTCCTTGCAGATCTGCTGATGGGAGGGAGCCATGTGGTCTGAAGGCTGTGGGGCTGGCCAGCTCTTGGAGTTCTCAAAACCCCAGCCCCTGCAGGACTGACTACCTGTGGCCACCATGCTGAGCAAATCCCTTACCTCAGAAGGGAAGGTCTCCTTAGGGGAGGCTGAGAGGAAGGTCAGGGTGCCATTGACCTAGCGCAGTGGTCGGCAAACCGCGGCTTGCGAGCCACATGCGGCTCTTCCACAAAATACCTCGTGTGGGTGCGCATGTACAGTGCGAAGTTGACTTAAAACTTTAAAGTTTATTTAAGTTAATTTTAGGGAACATTGTGGAGTGAAAGAAGATGTAGTGTCGAGGATTGATTGAGAAAAGTATGTTGAGATGCTTTGGACATATAGAGAGGATGAACGAAAGGAGATAGACGAAGCAAGTCTACAAGATGAGTGTGGATGGGAGAGTTGGAAGGGGTCGACCTCAGCGAACGTACCTCAATCAGATTGAGGACGTTTTTTAGCAAAGGACAGCCCAGGAGTACCCTAATTAAGTTAATAACAGTGTACCTACCTATATAGTTTAAGTTTAAAAAATGTGGCTCTCCAAAGAAATTTCAATCGTTGTACTGTTGATACTTGGCTCTGTTGACTAATGAGTTTGCCGACCACTGGCCTAGAGGAAGGAGGTGTGTTCTGGGCATTCCAGGGAGGACTTGATTCATTTTCTCAGTGCCAGGAAGCAGGAGAAAACAAATCCAGGTAGTTAAATTTGGCTGGCAACAGCTTTCATTCTTCTGATATGCGTTTAAGGTTCTGTATTCCAAGTCCAGAGTGGACTAAAAAGCTTTTGTTGGCTGACTCGGGAGCCTTACTTTGTACATAGGGCACTGGTTCTCTGGGGGAATTTTTATTTTTATTTTTTTCTCTAAACAGCTGACTCATCAAGGAGCTTATAGCAGAAACTGTCTGTAAATTTGGGCAGTGCCTATAGTTGAGAATTGTTGGTTGATAGGAAGAAGGAATGAAGACATCGATATTGTGGTATAATATGCACGGTGTGCAACTCAGGCCAAGGTCAGCATGGTCAGCCGCATTGCCAGTGCTGGCGACATCAAGTTGTTGGATATTTTAATGATAAACTGTAATCCCATGGGCAGTCAGAACCTACAGTTCCCCGTATAAACCAAGAGTTTACACAGTGTGGCAAATGATTTCTTCTCCTTCGTACGTGGGGCAGTGGAACAAGCAAGCATGAGAGGTTAGAGGGGCCTGGGCAGGTGAGTTCTCCAGCTTGGTTTCCTTTTGTGAAAACGAGAGGGGGCTCTTCCTAGGGTGTTCTGTGGAGGACAATGGCCATGATTTTAATGAACCTCTTGTGCTTTCATGGATTATAAACTTCCTGAAACATGTTTGGGGAGTTATCATGCACCAATAACATGAAAAGCCTTTTACTTTTGCTAAATGCTAACATAGACACTTACAATAGGCTGTGAATGATCATTTTAACAGTCTTGTGTATTTTACTTCCTGGTCACAACAGGATCAAAGAAACAGAGAAAGCAATTGGGGCCAAGGTTTGTTAGGTAGGGGCAGGATGGGACCATGCAGGAGGGAACTGCTGACTAGCCAAGAGTGGAGTTTATTCCCAGTGTCAGCCATGGATTGCAGATGGCCTGTGCATGTGTTTGTTTTATGGTTGTTGGTTTTTTTTGAGGGGGGCGGGGTGGTGCTGGTGGGGCAGTTCAGCACTTAGGCTTAAAGCAGCAGGAGAAAAAGTTTTTCATGTTCAGCTTTCATGATTTCTAAGATGGATTTTCTGACATTTCTGGTTTATAGTATTGTGTGTGTTCTGTATGCTTCTTTGCTCTTTGCCGACCACCTGACGAGTACTGGGTAACTCCATTGCACTGGATGCCGCCGGTGCCTGGGACCTAGAGACCAACCGTGGTCTGTGCTTGTGAGGAGGGGCCCTTTATTTTGAGGAAGCTAAGACTGCTGCAGGTCTAGCTCAGAGGAAGAAAGTGTAAGCATCCCGAACTGTGGGCAGTGGCAGGCCATCGCTCTTCCTCATTTCACACGGGTACCCCGGGGAAGAGGGGCCCGCTGTTCTCAGACACCTGCTTCATCCCATAAAAAACTCAGAATTGGTAGGGAGACAGTGAAGGGGACACAGACGTGCGCCTCTGCAAGCCTGAGCATGCGCTCTGACTGCAGCTGTCAGCTGTCACATCACTCCTTTGGAGGCTGTTTCCCATGGGCCGGGCTGAGGACACAAAAAATATGTCTGGGCCAGTGTGGGCTGCAGAGCCTCCCTCCTTCACTGCACATCTCCCCTGGCACAGGTCCCGGGCCCAGGGGTGGGACTTCTGTGGCTTTCCTGCTTCCCAGAGCTTCTGCTTGCAGTGGGTGGGCGGTCTGTGCCATGCCTGCTTCTTTCACTTTCTCCTGCTCCCACCTTTTCCTCCTCCTCCCTTTGACCTTGACCCGCACTTTGCTTTCAACTAGGTTTTCCCTGAGTGAGGTTTCCTTGAGTGAGGTTTCAACATCTCTGGTTCTGTTTCATTATGATGTCAATTCCAGCCACACCTTGGACTTGTTCCAGGAATTAGTACAAAGCCTTTAAAATCCTGAGAGATCAGGGCAGGGGTGCGAACCAGCTTGGAGCCGTCTCGGTGCGTCATCCCCACCCCCCACCCCCTGGGTGTCAGTGCAGAGCTGGGGGTGAAAGAGGTCCTTCGGCACCTGCCCCTTGCCAGCCACACTGACCTTCCCTGAGGTGTGGCAGGCTCTGTGTTAGGGGGTCACCTCCAGCCTTTTGCTTCGGGCACCTCTCGGAGGCATCACTGAGCTCTCCAGCAAAAGGAAAGACTAGGCTCTCCTTGTTGTGGTAGCCAGTGTTGTCATCTGCCCTGAGAAGGCAGCGTCCCCCACTTCCATCTCCTTGGGTCTGGGGGCCTGTATATGTTGTGTGTCACTAGGTACGGGGACCACTCCAGGATACTTCAAGGTCTCAAGTCCAGGGCTTTGAACTATTATTGATGAGACTTGGGAGAATCGAGGGGTGCAGTGCTTAGATTGAGGTGGGGAGACTGGGGTTCCCCCACACTCTCTGTATATGCACTTTGTGTGGGGTGCATATGTACTTTTTTGAACTGCTTAAAAGTAAAGTTGCAGACAACATGCCAGTTCACCCTAAATATCTCCTGGGAATGAGGGTCTCCTGTGTAATAACCACTTACAACAGTCGTTCTGCCATATCATCCAATATGCAGCCACATTTAACTTCCCAAGTTGTCCCTAAAGTATCTTTTAGGGCTAGTCCCTCCACCTCCCTGAACCAGGATCCAGTCAAGTTCATGTGGTGCATTTGTTTGTTGCATCTCTCTGGTCTCAATAATAAACAGTCCCCACCTTTTCCCTCCATATCACCCCCTTTTTAAAGAGTCTAGGCCAGTTGTCTGTCAAGTGTTCTGTGGTCTGAATTTGTCTGTGTCCTTATGGTGGTATTTGATTTATTCCACACCCCCCCCTTTCCCCCCTTATTTGTTCTAAACTGGGAGGTGGGGCTAGAGGCATGGTTAATTCAGGGTGAAAATTTTGCAAAAATTACTAGATAGGTGACTTTACATTGGGCTCTCCCCCACCAAATTAAAAAAATTACTGTTACTGTCCATTTACTAAAAGTTTTGAGTAGTATAGTGTGGGGCAAAAGTAGGTTTACAGTTGTGAGTATGTGAAGCCATTTATTCTTGTATTATTACTTATTAATG